ACATTTAGTCTGGTTTATCAGGCTAAACAATAATGTCACAATAAAGTTTTAATTAAATACATAATTTACAGAACACAAAAACATTTGTAAACATAAACTCCTGTGTATGGTGTAAGTGGAAAAGTAAAACCTTTTTAAGGAAATATCAGCAGCTTTCTTTGTGGGGTTCCATTAAGTCGGGCATACACTGTGCGATATTTTCAATCGTTGCACACAAAAGTTCACAACTCAAGATGTATGTTCTCTCACTGTGCGGCCCGACGCTCTGGTGCAACCTTATGACGGCCTACTGAATTTCAAACATGTTTGAATTTCTCCTGACTAACGATTCCTGATCAGGAGGTCGTCGTGAGAGGCTGATCGCTCCTTGTTACCCCCTTTATACTACAGGACACGCTATGAGGCCTAAAGTCGGGCCTGATTGAAAAATTCTCGCACCAGTCGGCCCAAAAAAGGGCAAACAATGGCAGAGTATGCCTGGATTTAGTGCCAAAAATATGTTAATGTCATGCAAATGTTTTTGTGTCTGTGTTTGCAGCATTCGCTGCAGGAACAGCAGGTTCTGCAACAGCCTTTTCTCCGCTGCCATCAGTGTGTTGAACTGGTAAAACTCTAATCAAGTCTCAGCATCACACTTGAAAACATCATGTTGCACTACCAACGTGGCTGATTTTTTTCAAAATCCCATCAAATCCACAACTCAGTGTTCTATTGCATTTTGCACCATGCTTATTTATTTGTGCTGCACTGAATATTTCCATATCGATGCCTTCTGCACCTTGACTTTAAACTGGCTTTCATTTTCTCCTACACTGTTTACATTCTGATCACTGCTGCACTTTAAAAATGGAAAAATGTTAATTTCACTGCTGTAAGCTGCTCATTTTACTTCACTTTCACTTTATTTTTGGCAAATTATCCAACATTAAACACAGGAAACAGTAAAAGTAACAATAAACAAACAGACCCACAATTTACCAAAAAAAGGAAAAGGCTGAAGCAAAGCTTATTCTTGCCTACCCTCCATTCTTGCTCTTTCACTGTTGAAAAGCTCTATGCGTCGAAATGTCATTTTGTATATACTCTGCATAAACAAAATGACTGTAAAGTCTATGCCTTTGCACTTATGTTCAAGTAGGGTGTTTATGTGATGTCTTTAGATTTTGAAGGAGTGGATCTGAACCCCTCTATAAATCTCCTGGAGTGGCTGATCCTGAATCCACACTGGAAAGTACTACATGTTTCTACCCACCTATGATGACAAAAAAGACAAACAGAAGGTAAAGAGGAAAAACAGAACCGTGGCAACTTGTTGCCTTAGCAAAGATAGTTCAATCAGTAGTTTATTCTTTTTACTTACAATTTTAACAGTTAAAAAAAAAAAAAAAAACACAATTCTTTCCACTGTGCTCTGGGACCAGATGGGTCACAGACAAGATAAATGGAGATGGTAAAGAAAAAAAAACTTAATTCAAATTTCAAAAAGGATTTGAAAAATAAATTGGAAATGAAATAAGGAATATGTGATGTATGATTAGGAAAAGTTTTTTATAATCAGATTTATGAATTCTGTTTTGAAATTTATATTTGGAATTAGGATTTGAAAATACATCCACTTTATTTGTTCATTTAAATGTACAATTATAAAAGTGTTTTTCAAACTGCATTTCAAAGTGTATATTTATATATATATATATCAAGAAATAACAGTGTAGGCAGTAAAGACCAGTAGACAGATGAGAAAAAGCATGAATTCTGCACGGAAATGCAGTCATTCTATGCTCCAAAAACCAGTAATACTGGGGAAAATAATGTAGCCTTCAGCTAAAACACTGATTTCAATTTTTAACCGTTGAAGGTAATTCAGATAAATTTGGTTTGGACAGCCAAGCGATTTAAATACCTCCAGGTAGCACACATCTGAAACATTTTCACTCCACAAATATGGCGGCGACATGGTTACGCTGTTCAGCAGTGACTGAGGCGTCCGCTTATTCAAGTCTAGGCTCTAGCTTACCAATCAATTCCTGAAGCTAGGACTCTACAGTGCCTCACAAACTTAGATATTAACAACTTAATGAAGTTTTAATGTAATAATATAAAATTAAATATGAGGTAAGAAAAAAAGCTGAGTATCTTTCTTCGTGCTGAACTGAGTCTGATCGCTTTGGTCCCCATAGATGTTGTTGAGGTCCACTTCCACATGCTGGAACATCAACCGCAGGTGTTAGGTAGCACACAATAAACCAACATTATAGAAATTACAACCCAACAACTTATAACTTCATGCCCAGCAGATATAACTTAGAGAATTGGGTTATCAGAATATCCAATAAAAGAAAATAACTCAATTCAATCACCCAACATGCAGATGGGTTGAAAAAACAACCCAGCATTTCTTAGAGGGTTGTAATGAGTCAACATATGTTATACAATTGTACAGCCCAGCAATTAGAAGATTTTACAGCTTTACAAAGGCATATTATTTACAAACACTAAAAAAGATTAGATTATACCAATATTTATATATTAATGATATATCCATCCATCCATCCATCCATCCATCCATCCATCCATCCATCCATCCATCCATCCATCCATCCATCCATCCATC